AAGAAGAAAAAGAAGAAGAAGAAGAAGAAGAAGAAGACGGAATATACTCTAGAAATAGGCTGGCGACGCAAATGAATGCTGGCAGTTCACACTCCAAACTCCAAGGGATAGAAATATAGCTGGTATAACATAGATTTTTCATACCTTTAACAGTATAAAGTATGATACCTAGTTGTTATATTCCGTCTGTACCTTTGCCGGATCGCGCATCAATGGTAATTTTGGAGGCTTACTTACATTCTTATATATACTCACTGGTTATATAAACACTTAAAGAGATTATTGCCTAATTATTGCTTATTTATTTGTTTTTGCAATATTTACCAATTAAAGGTTTTGATGAGTCGTGGCAGGCCAGGTATATTTTTAGCCGTAAATCAAAATTTCTTGGAACTGTTGCTCAATCTGAACTAATCTGGATATTTTTTCCCTCAAAATAATATTCATTTTCAGAATTTACCAGGGAATGTGTATATATTTTTTCTTTAAATTGCCACAAGCAACAAGTAGTGCTTGACCACTGATAGTTAACTATCGATCTCAAAAGAAATGTTCAAGTAATTTTCGTTTCTTTGTCCCTGTGTTTGCTTTAAGTGAAGATGGCAAAATATTTTCTTTGGCATTCATATTGTGGTTGACGAAGACTATCCATGAGACCTTCCAGAAAATTAAAAAACTCATAAATTAAACAAAAAAGAAAGAAAAGAAAATAAACAAGAGTGGTGACAAAGTGAACGTCCCTTACATGTTCGATATTTTTTAATTCCCACAGCGAAAGTTTTCAAAGTTAAAGTTTTTATAAAGATTTTGTGTCAATGTTATACCACTCACTATACGTCATCACTGGTAATCATCCTCGCGTATCGGGGGGTTTCCCGTCATATAAATCAAATTCGCAAACACAATATTTCATTCGGATTATATATTATATCGCAGTTACTGTACGGACACTCGAAACCATGAACACTTCTAGGGTTTTTTTTACATTTCTCGAATAATCTAATCCAATTTTTTTGTGCAATTTCAGTCTCCTTGGGTAGTGGTTGTCGTTAAAGTTTTTAAAAATTTACAATATAAAGTGTATCAATTATTTAATAACAGGTACTTCGTCAATGAATGATATTTTTCATTAACGCCATAATAAACTTCATTAGCGTGGAATAGACTTTCAATAACGATATTTGAATATGCACTGTTTGTCAGATGATGCTGTTGAATGCTAATGCAATAGATGCTAAAAACGATTGTACGGAATGTGAATTCCTTTTGTTTTCTGTACTAATCAAAGCAAGCGTATTGAACGTCTTGTACCCCACCGGTCTCAACGCAAGCGAATAAGCAAATAAAGCACGGTATGAGAAAAGAACAGCGTTAAGGAAAACTTTACGCACGCATTCATTTAAAAAAATAAGGACTTCACAGGCCGTACAAACCTTTGTTGTCATCTATTGTTTTATCTTGCACGAACCTCAAAAATAGTGGTAAAACAAATTAAAAAGGTCTAATAAGCTAGCTTAAATTAATGAAATAATTTTGGTATTTTTCGTCTTTGAATAAGTCGACCTTTGAAGTTGACGAACCGGCACTGTGTATATTTTCATCTTAGTTTGGTGCTGTCCTTTTATGACAAAATGGCGGGGTTGTTTTGTTTGTTATCGACTTTAAAATATAATGAAAAATTCCTCGTCACACAAGCATTGTTCAAAACTAAATTCTTCAACTCCAAAAAAAGTATGAATTTCTTTTGCTATTTCTTTCACATGGTGCGATGTATTTACAAATAGCAAATGTTATTTTATTCCCATGGCGAGACCTTCACAACACTCAAGCAAAGAAAACTTCATTTTCACCGGTTATCTGGTTTCGGTTTCCGGATAACCACGAAATGTGAAATTTCTGATTTGTGGCTATAGGTGAAGCTAAATATATATATCCTAAATAACTGCTAACAAAAAAGGAAGAAGAAGAAGATGATGATGAAAATGAAGAAGA